AGGTGGACCCCTAACAGCATGTTCCGCAAAAGAGCGAGACGAAATTCTCAGTGTGACAACAGGATGTAACTGTTCAGACCAAGGAGATGGAAAAATAGCTTATTTGTCCATTTCCAGGTTCGACAACAGATGCTATAACTGTTTGGCACAGTTTGCCCACAGCTCCACCTGAAAAATTATTCACACTCGTGCCATGCTGGTCTGGTGGTCCCCAGGTTGCCGACGAATAGCTAGACAGAACACTTCCAGTTACGAACCAAGCACTCAGTGTAATGAAACTGTATAAAGAAATGTAATCTTTTAGGATGCAGCCGAGCCATTCGCCCACTATTCATTCCACAAGAATTACGTCATGGTACGATCACACTTTGAAATTACGCTCGACTGAATGCTTCCAGGAACGAAGCTATTACGGTGTGTGTTGATACAGCAACACGATTTCATAAAACAAAAAGAAGGCTTCAACTCTACAAGTACAGTACACGTATTGTTCAGAAGAACGCTATATGCAACAACACGTGACTTTATATCACTCTTCCACTGTCCAAATTCTAGTAGTAGCCAACGATAAGCTCTAGACAACAACATCCGGTGTTACCGTGACTTGCACAAGTGTCGTCATCAGCAAATTCCATTCAGGGGTGTCCAGAACGTATGAATTCTTGCACAGAAACAAGAAACTGCGAAAATTCTCTATTTGGTGTCAGTGCAAAAATTTTAACATGTTTTATACAATCTGTAAATTACAATATCTGATTCTATATTCTTTAGAGAAAAAAACAGCGTTTATTTCGTTCGCTTATCACAGAAATTGTAGAAATAGGAGCAAATTTAGTTAAGTGACTACAGCTTTAACGGATCTCAAATAGCGGCCCTTTAAAGATATCCGTATGGCTGCGAAAACCTAAGTTTAAAGGGCCGTAGGATAAAGGTTAAAATCACATTTCAGCCTGTGAAGTAGTGGTATAACTTTGTATTTGTGATGGATATTTTTAAATAAATTAGACAGTCATTGAATTATATGAAAGAAATCAATAACTGGAAAGATAAATACAAGTATGGGACAGACAGTGTATTACCCCAATTTCATTTAACAGATTTACATAGGCAGCAGCTAGAAAAGTGAAGTTTCAGAGAGCAGCAGCAGGTCAATCAGTAATGGTTTATGTGAGTTTTTTTTTATTTATGCTATAAATAGTATACCCATTTTTTTTTAAACAGGCACAAATTCATAAATTAGAAGTGTGAATGGTCAGAGAGAAGTAGCAGACTTGAAGATGATGCTTTAGATAGACAAAATTATTTGATGACATGTAGGGGCTTGTGATGTAGGGGCATGAAGAATATTTCACCTAAATATTAGCATGTGCAAGAGTACAGTTATAAAGGCACTATTGACATTGAACTAATGAATGAAATCAGATTAAGTGTCTTTTTAAGAGGAGGATGGATGATTTCAACTTTTTCCTGCAATATATTGTGTTATTGCAACATCACATATGCATGATGGCCAGATGTAGCAGTTTTTCAACACTAGTACCCTTACTCCCAAGTTAAAACATGGCCACCAGGTCTGTAATATCAAGAGACTTAAAATCCTTTTTTCAAAGATGATAAACGATTACCCCATAGTTAAAATCTGGCCATGTACACTATAGTATTGAAGATTTAAAATAGCCTGTACCTGAATGGTAAATGTTAATTAACAAACTTGTTGATACAGGGACAATATAAGGTGAGATAGTAGAACTGGTAGATTATATGTGATGATAAAAGATGTATTATGGAGATAGATTACATCAAGAAAAGGAAGAATCATATTGCATCAGATCTTCAGATTCATACTAAAATATAGTGAACAAACAAAAAACAAACAAACAAACTCTGCGCCCTGTAGTCCGCAAGCGAACTATACTGACCGAGCGACCACCACCTGTTGGCGAAGTTAGTGCCAACTTTTGCATATAGGGTGATGCGTGATCAGCGCAATGGATCCCTACAACTGTTAATCTCGGTTTTCTAGACCAGAACCACTGTTTCCTTGAAATAACTCCTCAGTTCTTCTCACAAGGCTGAGTGGACCCCATTCCAGACCCACTACTTATCAGAAAATCTGGTAGTGCCGGGAATCGAACCTGAAACCGTGGATCTGTAGCCAGGAACTCTGACCACTATACCACAGAGCTGGTGTCCTAAAATATAGTGAAGCAATTTAAATTACTGACATGAGACTCCAAGGAGAGACAAAGTGAGGAATGAGGTAGTAAGAGGAGGAATTTGAGTTAGACCTCTTAGGGTCAATTGGACCTGTAGAGTTGGGCCAGGAATATTCTCACTCTTAGGCATGTATTAATAAACATAGCTTTCTGATTAACTTCCTCATATTATCGTTTCCTAGCACTTTTATTTGTTGTGTGTATCTTTATACAGTACCAGTTGCAGAAAAGATTATTTGTACTTCTTTTGGCTTATTTTGGACTTATCCTTCGTCTGGTATGTAAAAGACGTTTCAGAGACTGGATCTGTCTCCGTCTTCAGGTGGGTAGGGAAGGATAAACTTACTAAGTTGGATCCATTAGAAAGAGCTAGTCTCAATCACTGGACATTATTTGTGTAATGTGAATTGACTTCATTCTCTACATCTGCTTCGATTCCTTTGTAGACTGCAACTATTGATGAATGGTTTGGATGTAGCTGGATTGAAAATTGTTGTTTGTAGCTTTGACCAATGTTATAGTTAAAAAATATTCTGGAGTTTTGGAAAATTTTTCTGCATCAGTCCAAGTGAAGGAAGCAGAAGGTCCAAAGGCCCTTCTGCAGTATGGTTTGTGGCTTGAGGAGACTTACAGTGTAATATAACAGCATAATAATAATAATGTGTCAAAGCAACTCAGTGGCCTTTCTTTTCAGTTGAAGGAAGTGTTCGTATCACCAAAACAAAGTATTATGGCAAGTGAAAATACATTTCATTCCGCATCTGCCATCTGCAAATTGGATGAGCCTATCCTACACCTGAAGAAAGAAAGAAGAGCCACAATGCAATCCCCAGAGAAGTTAATTCTTGAAACAAATCTAGATATTCCAGAAGGTGAAAGAATTATTTAGTCTGTTACCATATTTTATAGCATCTACTAATGTAAACTCATACAGTTTATGAGTGAAACAAAACACACTATTTTTGCAACTAAAATTAATGTATATCATGACACTGGTACTTACAGAAGTGCAGTTTTGCATCACTTTATTTTTAACAGATTTCGTGGCAGAAGAAAGAGTTGTCAGTTATTGGGCCTAACGTTTGAGGACCAGCAATCCTGAATGAGATTTACCATGGCCTTCCTCAATATGTGGAAATAGATGTTGGAGTAATACCTTAAAATAGTACAAACTGCACCCTGGTACATTATGAACTGAGTATTAACCTAGGATGGACAACTTCTAGTTGCCCCTTGAGCAGTCAGATCTATACTGGGTTCACTGTACCCCAGTTTCCTCAAACATGCCTCTTGATTCATGTTCACGTTTATCCTCCCACTTATCTTTCGTGTCTAATGATCTGAGTAGTCGATACATTATCAACCGAGAACTTATGGGAATAACTGCCTACTTTCCTTTCACTGCAGTTTGACTATTTGATACAAGTAAGAAAAAAACTTTTTGCTATTTAAGTGTAATGAAGTCAGTAAAACAATGTAGTTTGAGAACTTCAGTGTTGGTATTACTGATGGGTGGGACTTAACAAATTACAATGTTGTGCTGGACTGAGGTGGCATGATAAACATATGATCAGTATATAGATTCATCTAATATTAAGGTTATTAACTGAAGAGTTTTGAGAGGTTGCAGTATTGGTATTGCTGATGGGATGGACTCTGAAGTATGCCATTGAAATGGCCTCAGGCACATGATATATGTACCAAGTTCCATAATGATAGGCATTCAAGTAATATTAAGGTTATTACCACAGCAGTTTGAGAGGCTACAGTGTTGGTAATACTGATGGGAGAGACTTATGAATTACACCGTTAAGATGGCCTCAGGTAGCATGATGGACATACCAGGTTTCATAAAGATCAATTTAGGTGTTCAAAAGTTGAGGGGGTGGAGTGGATACATGTGGACAGACAACAAGGTGATTCCATAAGCCTAGTTTTATTTTTTAAAATAAGGAAAGTAGGCTAAAAGTAACTCATTGCACAAAATATACCTAAGTTATAAATAAATTAAAGTATATATTTATTTCACTTGTAACTCACATCTGAATTAACCTCTGTTGTCTGGGAATAGGGGATTTAAATCTCCTGCTACTGTGGCACGGTTTTAATACGAGGGTAATAGAATTTATATCATAAAGACTGTAATGTTAGGCATGCATATGCATCATGGCAGCATGTTGCACTGACAATGAAGTTTAAAGATAGGACGTGTGCTAGTTACCATTTGCAGTGAGAAGAACTTCAGTTTTTTTAATGCTTTGCGTTAATATACTTGTAGTATCCCTGTACCAATACATCAAACTGAAATCTGTTATAAATTTTATTGTAGTTAATATAATTATATCTCCTACTGCTAGGTGGTACTGTAGGAGTACTAACAATGAGTAGAAACTCCTGTCCTGTATCGGTCATAAGACATCTGCAGTATAGCTTTGTTTATTGCGAGTTTCATCTGGAATATCCAGATTCTGCAGTTCCCAACAATTCGACAATAATGAGAATAATCAACTAATTTCGGGAATGTGGATCAGTTTGAGACAGGAACAGAACCAGTAGACCGGCCGTTTTGACTGAGGCTAAACTGGCTGACGTGGAATAAATGTTGCAGTGTTCCCCTTCAAAAAGCCTGAGGAGACTATCAGTGCAATCAGAGATTTCGTATGGATGTGCTCAGAAAGTGATGAAGAAGTTACACCTTCGTGCATATCATGTTTGCTGTGTACAGGAACTGAAAGACATGAAGAAGTTACACCTTCGTGCATATCATGTTTGCTGTGTACAGGAACTGAAAGACCTGGATGAAGAAAGTGTACTGTAGATGGTTTCGGACATTTGTTGGCAACCATGATATTGAAGAGTTTGAAAGGGTTTTCTTCACTGATGAAGCGTGGTTTCACCTTAGCGGCAATGTAAACAGTCAAAACAATAGCATTTGGTCATCTGAAAATCTACATGTTTACATGAAAAGCCCTTGCACTGTCAGAAAATTGGAGTGTGATGTGCTGTATCACGTTTAATAGTGGGCCCAATTGTCTTTGAAACAGTGAACAGTCCAGTGTAACAAGACATCATTACACAGTTTATTGCGCTTCTTGAAGTTGATGAACATGAGTGCTGGTTGCAGCAAGACGGTGCCACATGTCACACAGCTATTCAAACCACGGAGTTCTTGCTCGAGTTTTTCGGTGACCGTCTCATTTCGAAAGGATTGTGGCCCCTGCGTTTGCCTGATTTGTCACCTGCAGATTTTTTCCTTTGGGGGTACCTCAAAGGAATTGTCTATAAAAACAATCCACATACGCTGGATGCCCTCAAGAGGAAAATTATGACAGTGATTAACAGCATCAGTTTACAGGTGCTCCACAAAATGCCCTGAAACATGGTAAAGAGAGCTCGTGCATGCATTGCTGAACAGGGAAGCCATTTCAAGCATATATTGTAAAGACATGATTTTAATTTGCATTTCTAAGCTGTAAGGTTATAAACATTAATAGTAAGTGCTTGTAAGTCTTGTTGTTTGTGCAAACCCAGCAAAATATAATTGCTTAGTGTGGTGTGCGCGACTTCTTGATCTTGCTGTATTTGTAATGCTATGTATTTTGAATACCTGTGTATTCCTAGATAGATTAAAATATGCTTTGGTTAAGCTTTGTTTCAAAAAAGAAAAGATACAAGAAATAGCCAATTACTGGCCTACAAAGGGGGACCCAAAAATAACCGGAAACGACCTGTTGCGCGCGCATGCTTTGTAGTTACGAGTTGTGCTGCTAGGTGGTGTTAGCTGGGGGTCTCCCGCGACTGTTGGTGAGCTGGTGTCAGTCTGAGTTAAGTGGTTTGTCTGTGGTGCTCTGTTGTGTGCGTTCCTCTTTCAACCCTTTGGCGATTAGTGAGATGGCCGACCAGAAGGAACAAAGAGTGTGCGTGAAATTTTGCTTTCTGTTAGGGAAAACTGCACTTCACTCTTCAAGTCGCGGCAAACATTCACGCGGTTTTCTCTTTGGTCATCTCCGAGCAAGCGAGGAACAAATTTTGCAGACACCCGTCTCATGTGCAAACCTTCGGTTAAAATTCGCTGGACCATGCTCCATGAGATGTTCGTTTCCTCAGAAAGTTGGACAGTGGCCTTTCGACGAACTTCATCAATTTCACGCACACTCTTTGTTCCTTCTGGTCGGCCATCTCACTAATCGCCAAAGGGTTGAAAGAGGAACGCACACAACAGAGCACCACAGACAAACCACTTAACTCAGACTGATGCCAGCTCACTAACAGTCGCGGGAGACCCCCACCTAACACCACCTAGCAGCACAACTCATAACTACAAAGCATGCGCGCGCAACAGGTCATTTCCGGTTATTTTTGGGTCCCCCCTCGTATATCATTGCTGAGTTCTTTCTAAAAAATTATTGAAAAACTCACTTTCTCGAGATTAATTGTGCGTGTTGAAGTGAGTGATATTTTTGCTCCCGAACAGTATGGATTTAAGACTCATCTTTCAACTGAGAAGGCAGCCTTCTCACTATTAGACAGTATTCCTGCAGCTATGAATAATAAGTAGATTGTTGGGAGGTGTTTTCTATGATTTGCAAAAGGCTTTTGATTGTGTCAGTCATTAAATATTATTGGATAACCTCGAATTTTATGGAATATGAGATACTTTCAAAAAATTAATTAAATCATACTTAACTGGTAGACGTCAAAGAGTTGTACTGGGCAATACAAATAATAGTAATAAAATATCTAAGTGGGAAATAATCAACATTGAGTTCTGCAGAGCTCGATTCTTGGACCTCTGATGTTCCTATTTTATATTAGTGATTTACCCACAATAATAAATAAAGATAATAATATGGTATTGTATGCTGATGACACTAGTATTATAGTTGCTGATTCAAATAATTCAAGTTTTGAAACAAATCTTAATCAAACCTTCAAACATATAAATGCTTGGTTTAATGCCAATTTGCTTTCTTTGAATTTCAGTAAAACTCAATATTTGGCTTTTCGATCTATGAAACATTGTAACATCATTACCCATATTAATTATGATCAAACATTTACCCCCAATGTATTAGAAACTAAATTTCTTCATTTGATTATTGATGATATGCTCTCTTGGAAAGAGCATATAGATATGGTCACCAATAAAGTTTCGTCTGCATGTTTTGCACTTAGAAATATAAAATATACGTATAATATCATTTGAAACTTTAAGGCTAATTTATTTTGCTCATGTACACTCTATCATGAGTTATGGGATAATCTTCTGGGGTGGCTTCTATTATGCTAAGAAGGTGTTTATTTTGCAAAAGAGAATCATTAGAAATATAATGAATGCTAAACCAAGAGATTCATGTAGGGAAATTTTTATGAAATTGGAAATAATTACGTTATATTCCCAGTATATATATTCCTTACTATTATATACAGTTAATAATAAATATTTATTTAACTTAAATAATGAGATTCATAAATATAACACTAGATTACACAGTAATTTGCATGTACCTATAGTGAATATAAAAAATTTCGTAAAGGAGCATATATATCAGGAATTAAAGTTTTCAGTCATCTTCCTCAATAAAAATTTGGCCAGTGATGAGAAATGTTTCAAATCAATATTGAAGAGGTTTTTGTATCATCATCCTTTTTAATCTATAAATGAATATTTTCAACACAAGGGTGACAAAGATGGTAATCTTGATACTTTTTGTATGGTTTTTAATGTATAACTGATGTTGTTTTAACCTTTGTCTTTTCTATCACCTTACCAGATGGGTGTACATTTTACTGGATTTGAGGTGCTCAGCTGATTGCCTGTATTAATAAGTAACCGTACTAGGGCCAAAAATATCTGTAATATCATCTTCAGTTATTTTATCTCATAAGATATATGCAATTACCACATTTTATATTTGTATTCGTTGACTGAACTTTCAGTATACCTTAATTTTGAAATTTTGTGAAATGTATCTATGATGGTTATGTTGTGTTAGCTTTTATGGGTTCTAATTCAATTGATTAGAACAATACGAAGACACACACACACATCCAACATTACAACACTCGCAGCTAAGAAGGGAACACACATCACAAGACGCGGTTTACACAGAAAATAAGAAAAACGACCCCGTAGTGAACGAACCACATGCAAGTTTTAATTAAGACAAATAAGATGAATTATCTTAACAAGTTTTAGCGAGTGTAAATTTATCATAGTTGACAAATACGGACTTTTTAAATACTTTTTAAATGGTGTTGTGAAAACATACAAGCAATGCAATAGATTGACGTAATTGGGACACCTGATGATGGCACTATGTTGCCGAAACATGTTGTGAAGTGACAGGTGAAATTGAGTGCACTACAAGACAGCCACTGTATACATATAATGGATGATTAGAACAATTTCCACTTTTTTATGGTTTGATCATCACTGTGTATAATTTCGTTTTATGACTGTTCTGTATGTGACTTGAGTTCTATTTTATGAACTGTTCTTGTGTATGTTTTGATTTAATAGTGATTTGTTCTACATGCTAGGATTGGCCAAAAAGGATTTATTGAATTTAAAATAAAGAATAAAAATAATAAGGGGGGGGCACATGGTAGCATAGTTGGTTGAGGCACTATGCTACAAGCCGGAAGGTTGCTGGATCAAATCCCAACGCGGTGGAATTTTTCAATTGACCTAATCCTTCCAGCTGCACAATGGCCCTGGGGTTAACTCAGTCTCTAACAGAAATGAGTACAGGAATTAAGTAAATAATTTTCCTGGGGAGTAAAGCGCGGCTGGTGTGTAAGGCTGACAACGTTACCGCCATCTTTGAGCTTATTGTCTAGATAATGTGGGGCTCTCAACGTCTCACAACCCTATGGACCTTCATGGACTGTTACAGGGATAGCTTTACTTTTTTTTTTTTTATAAGAATAGTAAGAATAAGTAGCATGGAAGTAAATCTCCATACATTCTGGACCTTACCAGTTGACTGATCTTGCATTCATTTACTGAAGGGTGAAACTGGACTCTCACCTGCTTACTAATATCTTGATTTCCCTCTAAGTTTTCTTCCTTGCAATTATAATTTTGTTCCTTGGGGAATCTTATATGCCATTATTTTCTTGTGTCAAAATTATTTGCATCTCAATTTCTTATGTGCTAATACTGAGGGTGACTTGTGATCAGACCAAAAGATAAAGAGCTATCCCATCACGCTATGACTTATAGGGTAGTTTAAGCCTTTCGACCATCTAAATATGATTACCAGGTTATTCAGTATGCATGTTAAAGTAACATACAGTCTATTAAGAAACCCATCATTTTGATTTTGTGTCGAATACCATAGTTCTTTGGTCCATATCTCCTAGTTTTCCCTTAGTGCTTCTCAGGAATTTTGTTATTTTTTTTAATAATGCCGTACATTGATTTCCAATATTAATTAACATCAGTTCTCTTATTGAAAATTATTAACATTCTTATTAAGAATTTTACACATATTTGTTCTTGTTTTAGCAGATATACTGAAACTGTATGCAAATAATATATCATTTGTGGCTCAGAAACCTCTCATCATAAAAGGAAGACTAAGCACCACATCCAGATGTAATGTAAAATTACAGCCAATTCAAGGTAAACAAGGATCAATAATCTATAACTACGTACTGTTTGCAAAGAATGTCATTAATGTTTATTAATTTGCATTAACTATTTTACGTTTTTTTTTGTCATACTTGAATGGTTGTCAAAATTTTTACCTTCAATTGATGCCAGGAAGGAAATATTATGGTAGATGAGGTGTAGCCATGACAGAATGAGCATGAGCTGTAATGAGAATTTCATTGTAGTAAGTAAAATCATTGGCACTGTTGTTTTCTTCTGTTTCCTTTGTTATAAGTACCCAAAACATTCTTTCCGTAACTTTTTCATAAGCTGTACATGCACTTTTGCTTCTTAAGCTATAAGGGGCAGTCAAATGAAAATTGGTCACCACGCATAACTCACGCGGCGCGCAAGTTGATAACGAGATTCCAAGAGGGACGTGTGTCACTGCAGGATGATGATTTCTCAGGACATGCTCATCGTATCATCACTCCTTCACTCCTGATGTTATTGCTGCGTTCGATGGTCATATCTGGGCAAACCGATGGATCACCGTGGAAGAAACTGATCTTTTGAAGAGAATAAGTCATGGTTCCGTACACACCATTGTGACAAAACACCTGCTATACCACAAAATCTGTGCTTAGTGGGTTCCACATCAACTCACGGAGGAACAGAAGACTTAGAGAATTGCTGCATCGCTGGGTCACTTGCAACGATACCATGAGGAAGAATATATTTTTCTGTCCCGTATTGCCACTGGGGACGAAACTTGTTGCCACCATTTTGAACCCAAGAGCAAATGACAGAGCCAGCAGTGGAAACACATGAATTCTCCCCCACCAAAAAATCCAGAGCCATACACACAAGTCCCAGTAAAGTTATTATGATGTTCTTCTTCGACTGCAAGGGCACTCTGCTTGTCGAATTTCTCGAGCATAGGGCCACAATCATTGCACAGTGCTATGAAGACACTTTGCAGAAACTGAGACGTGCCATAAAGTCAAAACGCCCTGGAATGCTATTGAACGGCATTACCCTTCTTCATGATAATGCGCGCCCCCACACTGCCAACTCTGTGAGGAATACGCTACAGAGATTTGGTTGGGAAGTGCTTCAACATCCCCCCTACATTCCAGATCTCTCCCATGTGATTTTCACATTTTTGGAGACCTGAAGAGAGACATTCGTGGACATTGGTTTGCATCAGACGAAGATGTGTGTGGCTGGGTAAAGATGTTCTGTAGGCAGCCCACAAGCTTTTTCAAGGATGGGATTGACCATCTTATCTCCCAGTGGGATAAATGTATTAACAGTTTGGAGATTACTTTTAAGTAAGAAATGTTCTTTAATATGTTTTGGCTTCTGACCCGTTTTATTTGACTACCCCTCATATTTGTAGTTGATGGTCTGCAAAAATATTGTAACATGTAGTACCATTGCTATGAACGACTGCGAGAAGGAAGATGCATTGCTTGGTAATGGATGGTAAACACATGTGAGATGTAAGAGGAATTTAAAATCTGGAACACAGTCCGACATGTGTGGATGTTGGTTTCACAACAGCTGTGGAAGCATCAAGGCTCAAATGGCTAACAGTGGGAAGTGGATCCATGATAGGTGCAAATGGGACAGGCTTCGTCAACTAGAGGAGAAACTGGAAAATACTCTGAAAAAATTGAGGAACAAGAATGGAAGAACAAGGGGCTGGAAGAGCAGTTACGAGGGGTGGTAGATGGATGCGAGGTTGGCAGGCATGATATGCTGTAGAGGCAACATGAAGGTGAAGAGTGCTTAGTACTGGGTGACTCGATAATGTGGGATGTGGAATCTGAACATGTGAGGGTACAGTGCTTTCCAGGAATTAGAACTGAAGAGCTGCAAAGAGTGATGGAAAACAGAGATTTAGGGAGCCCTGATACTGTTGTAATTCATGTATGTAGGTCGTACCAAAAGTCATGAGCATCTTTTCTTTGCATGCAAGCTGGGAACATCAGATGAAAGAGAGTATGGTGGTAGGTGGAACAAGCTGTTGTGTTAACCTTGAGTGTCGTGTGACATCAATAGCTTGCATCACGTGACCAGTATCACTCCTAACAAAATGGCCGACAAAGATATATCGTTTCGCCAGCGTGCTGTCATCATATTTCTTGTGAAAGAGGAAATCCCTGCTGCAGAAATTCTCCAGAGACTTCAGCATGCTTATGGAAGTGTGTGCATGGGTGCGAGCAGTGTTCGAAGATGGGGGAAACATTTTAAAGAGGGAATACCAGCATAGAAGATGAGCCTCGGAGCGGTAGTCCTCGAACAGCCTAAACTGAACGCAACAAGGAAAGATTGGATGAGATCATTGAAGATGACAGGTGTGTGACTGTGGACACAATAGCCCAAAAACTTGGAATAGGGCACAGTGCAGTACAGGAGATGATTGAAAGCTTGGGCTATAGGAAAGTTTGTGCTCGGGTCCCGCGGTTATTGACCGAAGACCACAAAGGTGAGCGAAAAGCCATCACCTCAGAACTGCTGCAGAGATATCAACACAAAGGCGATTTTTTGCTCTGTATTGTGACAGGTGACGAAAGCTGGTTTCACCATTTCGAGCCTGAAACAAAACGGCAGAGTATGGAATGGCAGCATTTGCATTCTCCATCAAAAAAGAAGGCAAAGACAGTGGCATCAGCTGCGAAGGTGATGGGCACAGTCTTCTAGGATGCAGAGGGTTTATTCTGGCCGAATTCCAGGAACCTGGGCAAACCATCAGTGCTGCTCGTTATGTCCAGACGCTGCACAAGCTCCGTCGTGCATTGCGCGATAAACGTCCGGTACGAAACATCATCATCCTGCATGACAACGCTTGCCCCCACGCCGCTCGCCTCACATTGGAAGCAATTGCAAAGATGGGGTGGGAAGTTCTTCCACACCCCTCCAATAGCTCTGATCTGGCACCCTTCAACTACCATCTTTTTGGATTTGTGAAGGATCAGCTGCATGGACAATGTTTTGAGACAAGGGAGGCAATTCAGAAAGCAGTGCGTCAGTGTCTTTGGATGGCTGGAACGGAATTTTACAGAAGGGGAATTTTCAAACTCCCAGAACGCTGGGAGAAATGTGTATAAAGAAGTGGCGATTATGTGGAAAAATAAAGAAAAGTCTGTAGGTTGAGGTGGTGTATTTGGTTTGTCAATAATAAAGCATGTTACTTTACAAAAAATTGTTGCTCATGACTTTCAGTACGACCCTTGTAGGTACTAATGATATAAGATGAACTCCATATCTTGATTATGCGATGGGTGATGTGTATGCTCTAGTGAATGAGGCAAAACTAAGTTTCCTCAGTCCAGGTTAGTTCTGAGTGTTGTACTGAGGCGCAGAGACATGTCATGGCGGCAGATCAGACTATTAAACAGCAGGTACAACTTGATAGTGAAGACATTGGATATTACATTTGTAGATTCAATGAGCCTGAAGATTGTGTATTTCAATCTTTTCTGGATATTATAACTAGCTATTAGAATGGGCATTTTTACCAATGCCATTAATTCTCATGTTGTGGTTGCACTGTATATCCTTCATTATAGAGCACTTTTATAATGTGTAATGTAATGTAATGTAATGTGTAACCTACACATGTAGTAAACTATTTTATATTTTTGTGTTATCATAAAAGAAATAAGTTTTGCATTCAGAGCTGTGAAATGATCCTGATACTTCTCTTGCACCTTCTAGAAATCTGTAATTTTGTTTCAGCCCTTGCCATTTTCTTCACTGCTCCAGAGGCTTGGGGTAGAATTGAACCAATTATGATTGGCCATTATGCAGTGAAGAATTCTTCTGAATATTCTGAATCACCACATATTGTGGACATTGAATGTTTCCTTTACAAGCCTTATCCTGCTGTCATACAAGTCCGGTATGTTTAATTTCAAGCAGTGTTATTTACTGCATATTTTATAATTAAAAATTCTTTTTATGTACTCTACACTTGTTCAAATCCTTGCAGAGCACCTATTAAAATCATTCTGTCTGTATGCATGTAAAAACTATGTTGTTGATGAACAGATTGTCATGAAATTTGATACTAGAGAATTTTATGAAAGACTGTTGAGGCTTTTCAGTTTAAATTTAGGCTGGACAGTTTAATGACCATTTTAGATGAAGAACTTGTGATTTTCTGCATGCCTCTAACATAATTTGCTGAGTATTTATTATGGCAAAAAATGTTTTGAGCAGGAATTGTTGAGAGGAACCTATTTCATGTCCAGTACATGTTTCCTGAAAGTTCTATGGTTTTTATGATAAATTAATGGAAGAGATGCAATGCATACATTTCTGTGCTTGTATTTAAGGCTGTATTCAACAATGAGCAGTGGTGTTCCACACACACTCAAAGATTGTTAGAGTCTCTTACAGTTGGTAATAATCAAAATAGTCTTCCTCCTACCTGACTTTATAGGGGTGTGTGGGTGTGTGTATGTGTTATGGACTGAACTCTTAGTACTTACAGAATAGATCCTTGAATGCATGATAAGGTATAAGTTGAACTTAAATTAATTGTGTAAATTGTATTATATTTAAATTGTGGATTTTAATTCACTTTCAGTGCTGACTTTAGCATTCATAATGTGTGCCATATGTGCACTTTGGAGCCATTAAGTTTGGATTTACCAGACTTTTTTCAACCACTACCAGTACATGGTAAGTATAAGAGATAAACTTGAACCAGTTTTCCTCCCAACTTTCTTTATCTGAGATTTAGAGTTCAGTAAACTCTCACTAATGCACATAATCAGTTCACAGTGCTTGAACATATGAATTTCATAATATTATCACAAGAAGGAGTGATAATAGATGGGGTTTGGATTGGAGATTGGATTTATTGACCATAGTTATTGAAGGAAAGATAGAGGGGCGGATAGAAGTGACAGGAAGACGTAAGAAGATGCTGGATGACCTTGGGGACAGAAGAGGATACTGTCATTTGAAGGAGAAAGCTCTAGATCGCATTAAGTGGAGGAATTGTTTTGGAAGAGACTGTGGACCTGTCGTCTGACAGATTACTGATGATGATGATTAACACACATCTCGTGACTACATATAGTTGTAGCGCCATTTCCTGATCTCCACACTTTACAAATATCTGCAGCACACACTAAGTCTTTTCAGTCTGCTGTGTCTTCACCAGTCATTCCATGGTACATGCTTCTAACACAGGAGATTCTTCAGCTTCTGTCCTCACTTCACTGCATGCTGGTTCTTAACTGCACCAACTAAGTCTTCTCTTCCTAGACTCCCTTATAACTCTCTCGACTTTTGTTGCAGTTGTCATCCTGAGAACATCTTGGCACAGATTGCATAGAAGACACTGTTGATTGATGTACTCCAATCATTTATGTGAGAACATGTTTGTTTGCAAAGGTGTTACTCAGTAATGGCTTCATATATCCACTTTAAGAATCTGTTGCACAGTAGCAGATGATACTTCATTGTTAGTTTTGCAGTAATATGTCTACACACTACAATATTAAGGAAGCCAAATGCTTGTGACTGCAAGAAGGGAAGTCCAGATTGGCTTCACTTTAGTGGAATGAACTGTGTGAGTTATGTTATCGATTCTGTGTGATACCATCGAGTATTAAAGCTTGCATATGGTTGAACAGGACAGCAGATCAATATATGTGTACTCTGTGCCATGTTCTGGTCTTGCACTGCTGGCAGTACTACTGTCCTACTTTTGGAAAAAGGATCAGGGATTGAAACATATTCTGCTACCAACAATGTATATTGTCTGAAATGAACATATGCTTGACTTACATTCTTGTAAAATAAAGGCAAAGTTTTCCCTATGCTTAATTAAGCACCACACAATTATACCTATTGAACAGGAGAGCAGGTGAGCCCCAGAGTCACTCTGTACGAGGGGCGTTCAAGTTCTAAAGTCTCTGATTTTTTTTCTCAGGACTGGGAGCAGATAGACATATGCGTTTTAGTTTAAAATATGTGTGCACTCTTTGTGAATGCGTGACAGAGAAGGCAGTACTGTACAGCACACAGAACTCTAGTGGTGGCAACGAGAGTGAGCGGTGTTTTTGATACTTAAAACGGCAACATTTTCGTTACAATAAGAGCGAGTAATCATTCGTTTTCTCCACTTGCGTGGCGTGACACGCATTGAAATTCATCGCCAGTTGAGTGAGATGTGGTGATGGTGTCATGAATGTGAAAAATGTACGTTTGTGGGTGTGACAGTTCAAAGAAGGCCGAATGTCGTGTGACAACGAATCAAAACAATCTCGGCCTTGCACCAGCTGGTCTGACAACATGTTCGACCGAGTTGAGAAAGTTGTTTTGGAGGATCGCCGATTGAGTGTGGAAAACATTGCCTCCAAAGTTGGCATTTCTGTGGGATCTGTGCACACAGTCCTGCATGAAGACCTGCGAATGTCCTCCAGGTGGGTGCCACAAATGCTGGTGGACAACCACAAGGCTGTGCATGGCAATTTGCCAGGCGATGTTGACACGTGATGAAGGCATGAATGGGACTTTGTTTTCATCAGTTGTGACAATGGATGAGACATGGATGCCGTTTTTCAATCCTGAAACAAAGCGCGATTTTCCAGTGGTAAAAACAGACTTCTACAGAAGCGTTCATAGCGGCCATGGAATCAAGGTGTCGACGTTGTGAAAAATGTGTATGGCTGCAGGGAGATTACGTTGAAAAGTGACAGAAGTTTCAAATTGTTTGTATGGTTATTGTGTGAGAAAAAAAATCGGAGACCTTAGAACTTGAACGCACAACGTATATGCCCTGCTAATAGCTTAGTCACTATACTGCTATCCTGATTCTTGTGTTATTCTTGTTCACCAGATGAATTTATTTCTGCATCAGTTGTATGGAGAAGAGCTCTGTTTCACAGTCTGTGGAATTCTCTTGAAGAGGAATCTCTTACAGTAAGCAATGCAGCATTTACATCTGTCTGCGTGCTGCAACAATCCAGGGAAGATTTGAGAGCAAAACTTTATGAAGAATTACATGAATGTATTGTTGAAGAAAATAAAGGTAATGTGTCTGACAATACAATATAAGTTTTGTTGCCATTTTATAACTCAGTTCACTGTTAAAGAAATCCAGACATCGATGCTACTGATATGAAAGTCTACCACTGGACACATTCCTGATTCATTTCAGTCCAGTTCTTTGCCTCACAACCTGCTTCCCTAAGATGTGTTTAATGTTATTATCTATCTCTTTCTCAACCTTCAAAGTGACTTGCTTACCAGTAAGTTCCCAGTAGTAGTCTGTATTTATTTCTTGTTTCCCCCAATCATACCGTATGCCCAGCCTATCATAATTTAGCTACCTAACATACTAGTTAATTAAGTTCTTCATTATGTTGGTAATATCATCCATTCCCAAATTATGTCATATCTCTTTAATTTTTCAGAGCATTTCTTTTATCTGTTCATGTGTGATGCATTATCAGCAGAACCTATTTGCAGTAAGGGGGTGAGTCCCCCCAAAATATTAGACATGGCACAAGTCCCCCCCCCTAGAAACTTAGTAAATTATGCACAAAAGTTAAATGCTGAGACCAGATAACATAAAATAAAACATTACACTGAAACCTCAATTTTACACTTTTTAAGGAAACTCCTAAAACAAATGTAAGATCGAGGTGTGTAAAATCAAGAAAATACAAATGTTACAACATAAAGAAAACTGTGGCCTTCTTTATACCATAACTTTGGAATACCATTTAAAATATACATGTTTGAACACTAAATATAAATGAAAATATGGTTCTTCGTTTATTTTTCAATGTTTCATCTACTGTTGTGTGGGATGAGATGGTGATTATAACTGGTGATTGGAATGGATGTGGGAGGAAGGGGTCATGGCCTGTTTCAATGTACTATCCCAGAATTTGCCGGAAATGACTGGCAAATATGGTATATACTTAGTTACACTGTTTCTTCAACCAGTCAGTCTTTTGTTTCTTTTCTCCCTTAGCTATCAATGAGTATAATTTATTTCTGGTTGATTCCATTCCTTACAGTGCATCCAAGAATATTGCTTTATATTTTGCAACTTCCTCTTCTGGCCTAGGCAAATGTTGATCTGAGATCTGGTCTACACCTCAGGCTGCACAGACCTCAACAACACTGTCACATATCTAGTAGTCCTCAGACTGCCCTCCAAGAGATTGTAATCTGTTTCAGTCACCCTCTTCATCTTCAGTGAATTTGACTGCACAGATATAATTGCTGCTGACCTGATCAGTCGAGAAACCACACTTCACAAAGCATTTTTTTATTGTAGTATGTGTTATCAGTGTTCAAGATTTTACTGTGAAGTGCACCGCAAACAATATATCTACCTTCATCTGTGCAGCATCTTGGAGCAGTTTCCCCCCCACTCTATCATGGTGCAGTCTTTGAAATCAGCTGCTTTCTGTAATGGAGGCTGTGGCTGGATGATATAGTTAGCTGGGAGAAATAGAACTTTTTTGTTGCTGTTGCTCAGATGAGCAACACAATGATAAGATACATAGCATGGACAGACATTTTACTGTACTTTCCTTTCTTAGGGAAAGAGATAGGCTTATTTGATTATTGTGCTCTGTGTGCACGCGAATGCATGCATGTGCATGGGTCCCCATGCACATACATGCCCCCTTAGACTTTTGGACCAGTTGATTGATCTTCATGGAACTTGCTATGAATGTTATGCTATTGAAGGCCACCCTGTGATATTTATTAATTTCTTAAAATCAGTAATAACAACATAAGAGATGTACAAACTTGAGAAGCAGGAGCATCAGTAGTCACTTCATTTATAGTCCTGAAATGATATACTTGTATGATAGATCTTTGATAAATATGGAACTTTCTTCAGTATTAAGTATGGCAAATACCATTATGGCAGCCTTGTAAATTGTTTCTGTATCATTTGGTTTCATGGGATATCTAATGACCCATAGGAACCTGACATGTGAAATTTGGTATGGTGGTAGATCATAAATAGCCTAAAGTTATGTAGGAAATATTATTTATAAATGAACAGTTACAAAAATGGCAACAGTGCAAAACTTCGAGGTTATATCTGAAAAATTTAATATGGATAGGCATACGCCCATCTCATGAGAACAGACATGGATGCCACAAAAGGAAAATATCGCAGACTGGAGAGAGAGTTTAGTTCTCAAAAAAAATGTATTTTAGTTTGAACAATGATAATGCAGTAACATGGAAATACTTGTATATAGATGTAGTGCAGTGTGATGGTTTAAAAAAGTGAACAGTTGCCTGAAGATGGCCAAGTAAGACTGAAACATGTAGGAATTGATGTGATTTGAATGTTATTTTAAATTAAAGAGATATTGTGAACATTTTTAAGTTTCATTAAAAATGGAGGTGAGTGAGCAGATAGAATTTGTATTTAAGTAAGAAGTCTGCTACAAAAATAAAATAAAATGATGATAACAACAACAGTAGTAGTAGTAGTAGTAGTAGTAGTAGTAGTAGTAGTAGTAACAATAATAATAAATAAAGAGCTGTGGGACTACGAAGGAACAGGGCATGAAAGTACACTTCTGACTTCTGCTTAGAATTGTGTATTTAATTAAGTGTGTATTCCTTTATGCTTATTCAGTGGTTTTAAGGTGCATCTTGAATAAATTATTTCTAAAGATGGTTATATAAAACTGCATTAATATAGTCAATTACTTGTTATCAAGTTCGTAACAATATAAATTTAATACAATATTTGGCAGTTACAAGACATTAGCTCTGAATTAGTCTCTATGCATGATAGTTATCAAGTTTTATGAATGGTGGATTTGCTTCTTAGTTTAATGAATTTAGTGAATATCATTACTAAAGCACCAGAAATCTGGTTGTGGATATAATGAGCATGTTTTCATTTTGATTGTACTGTTAACTAACATTTCTTGTAATGAATTAATATTTTTTCCAGATTTTTTCCATGTTGGAATTTACTTGTTCCCAACAAGCCACCTTCTTATGAAGTTCTTGTTCAAATGTGGCAGCACTCTAGTTAGGATAGTCACTGATGATGTCAATATTTTAGCCCATGTCAACAGCTATTTTAAGACGTGGCTGTAAGAATGGCATGGAAGAGGAAAGTATGTTTGCAGCTCTTGTGTGGTGTCCAGGTCAGTGTGATAGTTGTATGTTTAGTCTTTCAGTTGCTCACATTGGTGGTTCTGCCTGATTGTGTGGGGGGCTCAGGGGTCAATACAGTTCAGGAAGGTCATAATTTTTTTAATATCAGTAAAATTTCCACCGTTCTTGTTGCATATGTGGTGAAATACCAAACTGTCAAATCTGCCTTTTCACTAGATGCTGAGAACTGTCATTGTGTCTGCTAGGTAGAATTGACGCACCATCCAATTTCCTCTGCCAAGTGTGCTTCTCAGATGAGGCAACGTTCCAGGTCAGTGGAATTGCAAACAGGTACAAGTGCAGGATTTGGGGCAGTCAAAATCCACATGTCACAAGTGAATTGGAGAGAAGCAGCCCCAAAATGAACATGGGGGCCGGCTTAATGCAAGATAAGTTGATTGGACCGTTTTTCTTTTCGGAAAAGACTGTGATGGGATGTTCATACTTGGACATGCTGGAGCTGTATGCACTGTCCCAGTTATTACCTCAAACTATCCTCCAACAAGAATGGGTGCCACCATGTTAGGAATCACCTGGACAGAGAGATGGCTGGGAGATGGATCAGCAGAGGTGGACCAATTTCTTCGCCTCCTAGGTCACCAGATTTAACTCCACTGGATTTTCTCTTGTGGAGTTATGTGGAGAATATTGTCTACCAGGCTAAGTTCAATGACCTTCAAAACTTGAAGCTTGCATAAGGGACGCTGTGGCTACAGTAACACCAATTATGCTTCAAGCAATGTGCAATGAGGTAGAATATCATCTGGATATTTATCATACCACCAAGGGAGCCGACATTGAAATTTATTGAAAAAGTTATATACTCAGAAAAAGAAAACTTTGATACTTTTCCTATGTAATGGTGTAACCCATAAATGTGTATAATAAATTCTTTCTGAGATATAATTATTTTGGATAGCTTTCATCTGGACACCCTGTAATATTAGAAATTTGTCTGAAAAGAGGGGCAAAAAGTCTTGGAAACAGCCTTTAATAATAAAACTGGGAATTTCATCTGGACAGACACGCTTTGATGAGGTGAGACATTGAATCACCTCCATAACATCAGAATGAGAAATGGAAGGAACATTAAAAAAGTCAGCGAAGGTAAAATGAGGGTTGTTTGTAATATCAACAGAAGATGAACTAACTCCATGGAGCTGAGCCTTTCTTGAGAAGCTGCCATTTTCACAGCTATTCAAGAATTTCTAAACATTTTATGGAACTTGAAGGTTCATTACCATGTTCACAGGAGCCCTCCACTGGTCCCTGTCCTGAGCCAGATCAATTCAATCCATAACACCCCATCCTATATCTCTTTAAGATCCATCCTAATGTTATTCTCACACCTATGTTTAGGTCTTCCTAGCGGTATCTTTCCTGCTGGCTTTCCCACCAAAATCCTATATATAGTATATATACACGTATATATTCCTCTTATCATCCATTCGTGCTACATGTCCAGCTTACCTCATCCTCCTTGACATAATCATTCTAATTACACTTGGTGAAGAGCACAAGTTATGAAACTCTTCATGATGCAGTTTTTTCCAACCTCCTATCTCATCCCCCTTTAATCCAAATATTCTCCTCGGCGTACTGTTATCTAACACTCTCAGTCTATGTTACTAATCGAGACCCAGAGACTGCCTTTGCCCAGCAGGAGGAGGAGATGTCCCAAAGCTGTGTCCGATGCATCCCCTGGTCCATGATGCGCCCCCACCAGAGAGAGAGCCATAGTTTGGCCAACCTCATTGAGGATTACGTCATTACTGCCTGTGATGTGTAACCTTAAGTATGTAGATCATACAAGGTGTGTCCAAAAGTCATGAAATGTATTTCTTGCCCGCGCTCCTACTGGTCGGAGCGCGCTGGGACCGGTTGGGTTAGGGGGGGAGGCCTTTAGCTTCACAGCGCGCCAAGGTCAGTCTGCTCGAGCATCGGAGGCGTCAGTATCGCTGATTTAGTGCACCTGTGTTTTGTGACGTCACGGCGCACGATGGCGGATACTTTCGAACAACATTGGGCGGTCAAGTTCTGCACAAAGCTCAAAAAAAAAAGCTGCCGAAACTCACGAACTGCTTAAGCAAGCCAACGGGGAGTCTGCTCTATCATATGTGCAAGTTACAAGGTGGGTGACGAAGTTTAAGGAGATGAGCAAATCAAAGTGAAAACAATGCTCATCGTCTTTTTCGACGCCACGGGTGTGGTCCACAAAGAGTTTTTACCCCAAGGACAGACCATCAACGCTCCCTACTACGTGGATGTTCTAGAAAGATTAAGGAAAAGGGTCATCGGCGTGCGAAAAGACATCGCAGCTAACTGGCGGCTGCATCATGACAATGCGCCTGGCCACACGTCTCTGCTCATCCATGAGTTCCTGGCAAAGCACCACGTGGCAACGCTGCCGCAGCCACTGTACAGCCCCGACCTAGCTCCGGCCGACTTCTTTTTGTTCCCGAGGATCAAGACTGCACTCAAAGGACGCCGTTTTGAAAGCATTCAGGCCATCCAAGCGGCCGTAACAACAGCTTTAAATGAGGTTCCCGTTGAGGCCTTTGAGGGGGCGTACCGGGCATGGGAGAGTCGGTGGAAGAAATGTGTAGATGCTCATGGACACTACTTTGAAGAATATTAACACTTTGTACCGAGATCATCAATAAATTTAATATATATATATATATTTCATGACTTTTGGGGGACACCTTGTAGTTATACCTGCCTGACTAAAACCTCAAGGAAACCCATGAAGAATCTTCTCTGTGAGTTAGAAACCTCATTGCTGATGAAGGGGATCCAGGTAAGAGAAATGTCCAAACTAGGCTGGCTGATAAGGATTGGAACATGTCATATGGACCGATTCACAGTTTTTCTATACCAGTTGTTACTTTCAATTTCCAAAATTCCAGCCTACCCTATAACCCTCTTCATAGGCATGTTGGGCTAATTTTGATTTTTCTAGAAGACCCTCTTGGAGAATGTGCCTGTTTTCATGGGGCCCCACAGCTAGAGGTCTGCCTGTTTTGCCAATGTAGATCTGCCACATTCACAGGGAATACTGTAGATGCACTGTGCGTCTGTTGCGGATCTCTTTCCGGCCTGGTTTTCATGAGTGAACTCCTAAGGCTGAGGGCACACCAAGGAAACTGACAACCGCAATTTTTGAGAATGTTATCAACCAGAGTTGAACACATGTTAGTCAATGGAGCAGCGCAAACTGAGGAAACGGCAGTGCAAATAGTGGAGAGACTGAGAAACTCAGTTTCTAGGCAATGGAGCATGGCAGTCTTCACACAATTGTGTTGCTGCGCAGTTTCTTAGTATTAGCTCTTCTGTAATGGGCTTCAGTGATTTCTTTGTTGAGGTGACACAAAAGGTTGACGAAGCAGCTAATTTTGTTTTTGTGCAGTTAACTGAGCAAGAGCCTGGTTTATATGACAAACGCCACCCAGACTATGCTTGGCAGGACAAAATAGATTTGGGTTAGGAAAAAATTTCTTAGGAGACAAAGGAGTTTGGATCCAGGTTAAGTTCTTTCAAAACAATATAAGCGCTTCAGTTTAAATTGTCACAGAAGAACGGATGCATCCTTTTTAATATATAATTTATTTCACATATATTTTCGTCTTAAATGCAACTTATATAGTCGCCCTTCTTCCACATTACATGGTTCTGCTGTATACAGCCATCTTCAGGTGTCTTCTGACTTGCTAAAATTGTTGCACTTTATGTCAAAATTTCGTATCGCCTGTGAACGCGTTATTTCCTGCTTAAAATAAATTGACCCATTATTTAACATCCAAATATTTCCAACTATATATGGTGGTGGTCCTCTCATCTCACGCCGTCTCAACCGGTCTGAGCTACCACTGTATTATGACAGGATCAATATTATTATCTTCCACTGCAGAATGTAAGCGCACGAAATTAAAATATACAATCATGCATTACGTCGGAAGAACATACACACTTATGATGTGAGCAACTAAGCAAACGTTAAGTTCCTCAGTGTGTGCCTGCTTGAAATCGGCGCCATTTCTCGGAGATTGCGGATGTCAGTTTCCTTGGTGTGCACTCCCCCAATGGGACCTAACAGAGAAGGTGCCTGAGGACCCTGAGGACGGAAACAGATCAGTTCCCAAAAGGTTGTGCTTCTCTATGTAGTTTGCAGAATACCGGACGGTGAACAAAGTCCAAAAACCCAGTAATACTCAGTAATTCGTGACTATCGTTATTCGGATGATCTGTGATTGGGACTTAGAACTGTTGTCGGTGACTTATTCTCAAAGTAATAGTACAAATGAGTAAAATCTGTGGGAACTGCCCGCATTCAAGCAAATGTTACAGTGATAACGCAAGAATCATTGCCCAGCAACAGCTGTGTACTCGCTGTTGCCAAGCAATGATACTTGCGTTATCACTGTAACATTTGCTTGAATGTGGGCAGTTCCCACACGTTTCTCCAGTTTCTAGAACACCGGACGATAGAAATGTTAAAGAAAAATACTTCTGTACTACATAGTAACCCGTGACTACTGTTATTCGGATGATCTGTGATTCTGACTGTAAACCATTCTCTGTAAACTCTGTAACCTATCAGAATAAAAGCGGTTATAGTACAATTGAGCAATGGCGACGTCGAAGACAACAAATACGTACAATAGGCAGAATTGGGAGGATGCCGTAAGTAAGCAGCCATTTATAATTATGTTTGGATATTCTGAATACGATAATACAGTGTAGCCACATGAAATGTATGTTGTGTGTTCTTGTATTAGAAGTTCGTTAGCTGCCACGCAACTCTCGTGTTTGGATTTATGCTACTATGAAGTCACTGTAATTCGATCTTTATCTGGAAAGAAAGTTTGGTGCATTTAACATCACCATTCAACCTTCCTGTGTATTTCACAGATGACAGTGATGAGAAAGATATGGTAGTGCGGGCCAGAAATATATTCTGCAACAGAAAAGCTGTCTTCATGATGAAATGAATGCTGTAGACTAAGTGTATGGAACGTTTTTACATACTGCACATTTAATTAAGACTGAAACTTGTGAAAATACACCAACAGTTACTGAATTCTTGGCGAGAAATATTTGTTATAAGTGACTGCAAAAGCTATATCTGACTCGGTATAATCATGTACACCGATGAAGGTGGTGGTTTCTAATGAGAGGCTCACTGTGGGTGGTTCACTTAAGTTTAGAAATCATTGTGTAACAGCTTAAGTGTATTGGCATAGTCAAAATAAATATCAGTAACAAGGAACACTGATATGTTGGGTTTTTGGACTTTATCCATCGTCCTGGTTTTTAAGATAACAAATAAAAACACGACGTTTCGTAAACTGGATCTGTTTCCGTCCTCAGGTATGAAGGAAAACTGGACACCAGTCCAGTGATTGAGGCTAGCTCTTTCTAACGGACCCAACTGAATAGGTGTTTTCCTTCACCTGAGGACGGAAACAGATCCAGTTTCCGAAACGTCGTGTTTTTATTTATCTTAAAAACCAGGACGATTTGTTCCGGTGATTGAGGCTAGCTCTTTCTAACGGACCCAACCGAATAGGTGTTTTCCTTCATCTGAGGACGGAAACAGATCCAGTTTCCGAAACGTGTTTTTATTTGTTATCTTAAAAACCAGGACGATGATTAAAGTCCAAAAACCCAACATATCAGTGTGTTATACACCATCGTCAGAATCCTATAGTAACTATTAGTAACAAGGAAGTTTTCTGAATTGCATGTAGTGTGAAGAGGGAAGTGTGTATGTGAATTTAATGCATGACACTCTTTCACAGCATCTTTTATGCTTTCCCCTTTAACTCGTGCATTTAATAATTACTTATGCTTTGTTTTAGAATATTTCATCATCTTTTCATTTTTCTTCATTTTCAGGAGTTTCCTATACTTTGCCAGACATGTCTGGGCGACAATCCATATATACGAATGGTAAGTCTTTTTCTATGTCAACATAGTTTTCAGGGAAGCTGATGTGTCATGAAATGTTGAATGAGGTCACCATAAATTTAGCATGCTCTGAAAGTGTAACAGGTAAAAAGATTCTGTAATACAATAATGCTTGCATAAAAGGGGACCCATATTAAATGAAAGTCCACTATATTGAATTTAATAAATATAACATGTTTTATATGGAAATGGAAAGGAAGGACAAGAATTTAATTGAAAGTTTACATGAATATTTGTATCTCTTTTGTGAATTCTATCCTATACTATTCTTCCGGAAATTTAAGAAGAAACATCCTTTGTGAAAGAGAAGAAAGAAAAAAAAGGCAAGGAGGCCGAAAGTAAGAGGAACAGACAGCAAAGAAAGAGATAAGGGTAGATGAAAAGTAAGATGTAAGGAAAGGAGGAAAGAAAGAAAACTGAAAGTGTGTAATCCACAGCATATAGTATACATATGTAGCATAAAAGTCCGGCTTGTGATTTGGATCATAAATACAGGCATACGTAGTAATGTATTGTGCAGTTTTCTTTACTGTTTGTGTTAGTACATTAGAAAACTGCTCAGATATTCTGTCTTAAGTAGGTTATGCTGTGACATATCAAATTACTTAACAGAATTAAGACCAATTTTACCCTGTGATGAATGAATGAATGAATGTATGAGGGGTAGGCCTTCTCGGCCCTTGCACCTCGACCTCAGTGGTCCATTATGCTTCTCCTTTTTTAGTTATTCCCTCAGCAACCCCACGCTTCGGATGAAGCGCAGGATTTTGGACGTGGGGGTGTCAAAATAGTCACTTGGTTCCATAAAGTACTGACCCAAGTGACGGTAGTCTTAAATAAGCTAAAGCCTCACGTTCACACAGGACGTGTGTGGCTGTTTCATTTTCTATCTGACACCTCTCACAAGTGGGACTATCACGTAGTCCCAGTTTGAACAGGTGTCCTTTGAGGTGACAGTGTCCTGTAAGTAGTCCTACCACCCATCGTAGCTGGTTCCTGTTGAGCTTCAACAGTTCATTCGCTCTTTTAGCAGAAGGTCCTCGTATGAGCCCCTTTGCTTGCCTGAGTCCAATTAAGGATCCCCAGTATTTCTTGTGTTGCATGTTTGTCCAGTCCCTGATTGCCTGTTTGGCAACTCCTAGAGAGATGCCACAGGCTGGTTCAGGTCCTATGAACAGATGTTCAGCTCCAATTTTAGCTAATTGGTCTGCTGCTTCATTTCCAGTAATACCCTCATGCCCCGGCACCCATATCAGTTGTACCCTGTTATGTTTGGCCAGTTCCATGAGGGTTTGGTGGCAATCCTAGACCAGTTTAAATTGATCTGGTGTTTGTCAAGCGCTTTAAGTGCAGCTTGGCTGTAAGATAAAATGTAGATGTTCCTATTTCTATAGTTCCTATCTAAATTCTCCATAATACATGCTTTAATGGCATATACTTCTGGCTGGAATACTGTCGTGTACTGCCCAAGGCTGAAACTAAGTTTCCGCCTCGTGCCATAGCAGTAGACACCAGCTCCAGTGCCCTTATTTGTCTTGGAACCATCTGTATACCAGATCAGTCCCCTTTTTCTATCGGGCCGAAACCCATCTTCCCATTCACTCCTGTCAGGAAATGTGACCGTGAAGGGTTTTCTCATATACATGTCTCAGTATCATTTTGTCAGACCCCCATCTGAATATGGGTTCCTTTTTCATGTCCTGAGTTATGTGTGCATGGCCGAAACCATTGGATCTAGGTTTCCATTGTTCACCTCACTGGAGATGGTAAATTCCTGCCCTGGCCTCTGCATCCAACTGTACATGCAGTGGTGGGAGTCCAAGGAGTATCCCCAGTGCAGCTGTTGGAGATGTTTGAAATGCTCCTGTGATACCTAAGCAAGCCAACCTTTGCAATTTGCTAAGTTCTGTGTTGCTTGTCTTGAATTTAACTCTGGGCCATCATACTGTGGCACCATAAGTAATTATGGGTCTCACAACCACAGTGTATATACAATGTATAACGTGTGGCTGCAGTCCCCAAGGTTTACCAAACATGCTTCTGCATGTCCAAAAAGCCGTATAGGCTTTGTTAATGGCTTTGTTCAGCTGCTTTTTCCATGTCAGTCCATTGTCTAATTCTAGACCAAGGTACTTGACATCGCTGGAGAGCTGGATTATCTTATTGAAGAGAGTCGGTTCCTTAAGACCCTTTATATTTCTGATATACCTATCCACTATTTTTTTCCATTGTTTTCAACACGGAAGGCGATAGGCTGATACGATAATAAGCCTTAGCCTCTGTATAATCAAAGTCCCGGGCTTTTATAATAAACATCACATTAACTTGCCTCCAGGCCATGGGGATGAAACCATATGCCATGCAGGCTCTATATATATATGAGACACAGGTGTGGAACTAAACGTTCTGCCCCATGCTGCAAAAATGCCGGTACAATTCCATCTGTTCCTCCTGACTTAAATGGTGTAAAAGTATGCAGTGCCTATCTGATTTTTGATTGGTTAATTATGACTTTGGCTAGGTTCCAGTGTGCCCTGTTCGTCTTGCTTTAGCAAGTGCCCAGGTTTTGCTGACCCTGTCCATCATCCAAATTATCAATCACTTTTGAATCAGGAAAGTGAACCCTGAATACAGTGGAACCTCGCTTAACGAATACCTCTCATAACGAGTAATTTGCATAATGAGCAAAACAAATTGTAAAAAAATGACATGCTTAGCGATCGACATTTCGCATAACGAGTGATGAGAGTGGAAGTCCCGGATTGTGCGCCTGCTACATCAGTCTGTGTTTAGCGCTCGTTCCGCTAGCATCTTAGTGTCGCTTGTGATCACACATTTTTCCAAACTTGTGTTCAGACATATTATTTGTGATTTTTTCTGTGTAAAGTTTAATAACCCTTGCAAAAATGTCCCTGAAGAAAAAGCCGCAAAAAGACAGCCATAAGAGAATAAAAAAAAACCGTAGAAATGGAACGTAAAATCGTTGAAAAGCGAGAACGAGGTGTGAGCGTGGCTGATCTAGCACGCACATACAATCGGTCCACATCAACAATTTGCACTGCGTAATCGAATGTGACTCTGAGGGGTTTGAAATAGTACCTGTGGAGCCTGTAGTCAACGAGATTGTGTCTTTGGCCAAGATCATGGGGCTGGAGGTGGTAACAATGATATCGATGAGCTTGTGGAAGAACACAGCCAAGAGCTGACCACCGAAGAGCTTATGGAGTTGCATTGTGTTTCACAGCAAAAAGTTATGGAGGAGAGTTTGTCAGAGGAGGAGGAGGAGGAGGTAACAGCAAAGCAACGATCTTTTGGTGCAATAAGAGAAATGCTGAAAGTATGGGAAACTGTTGCATCGTACATTGAGAAGCATCACCCTAATAAGGCAGTGGCTATGTGCACTACAAATTTATTTAATGATAATGCTGTGTCGCATTTTCACCAAAGTTTGAAGCATCGGCAAAAGCAAATGTCTCCAGACGGCTTTCTAGTAAAAAAGATTTAGATGTGTATCATAAATAATAAACTAATTATTTCGATTCTTTTTTTTTTGTTTTGTTTTGTTTTTTTTTGTTTTCCTGCAGATTGAATTCGCATTTCAGGTTGGTTCATTCCACATAGAAGAAAAGATGAAGATTATTCACGCTCCTTAACCCGTTGCCGTGGTTCGTCGTGTATGTTTCGTCAGGGATTTAAATCGTCTGGGGGGGTTCGACGTGTATGTTTCGTTCAGCTGCACACCTATGTTATAACGCCCATAATAATTGATGGTTTTGCTGTAGATTGTTAGATTTTTCGCTGGCCTGTTGTCAGTAGAACAGAGTATAAATAAGACACGACTTTATCTGTGCCAAGTCATCGTTACATATGCCTGTCTT